CAAATGTGGACTTCTGAGAATTCACCCTTATCTCATTGTTATGATCAATATATCAACTTTCTCCAAAATACGAGACTCAGAATCTTTGATCATACCCGAAACTTTTGAAATGATCCTGCCTTCTAGAAATTTTAACAAACCATCAACTTCTAAACTCGGTACAAAATTACCTCCCCCAAGATCTGCTTGTGATTGAAGAATTGAATTCAGCTTTGTATTCAAGATTTTAAACTGCTTCATTTTCATAAGCATATGATCTGGGAAATCAGCTTCGTCTTCATCAAATTCCAAGTTCATAAAAATTCCTCCAAAACCTTTAGATTCATTCTCAGTCACCATAAAAATAGATTCTTGAATTGGTGAAGTGGTTGTGGATTGATCAGTGGATTGAGAAGAGAAAAAGAGAAGTAATTGGATGTTTGATAATGTTTTCGAATGTAGAGAATCTATGGTGGAAGTAATGGGTATGACAGGTGTAATTTGTGGAGGAAAAGAAACAAAAGTTCTGAGGTAACAATCAAAGGTTTACCTTTGTTCTTTCTTCGAATCATCCTCACCCATGATAACATTTGCATCCGTATTATATAAGTTCACAAGAATGTTAGAAGTTTGTGCCTCCTCAGATAATGACTTGGCAACCGAATCTTCGGGTGTATAACAGCTGTCTGTGAAGGATTAGAAGTATCTTTTTGAAGAATGGCTTTAGGAGTTTCTGGAATTGTTTCATCTTCGTCGGCTGTAGATTCAGAAGAGATGTTCATTTTGCTTTTCTTCTTCTTCTTCTTTGAAATATGTTTAGCCATATTAGCAGGCCTTCATTTATTTGATGATAGAGAAATAGGCGCTGGAATTTCAAAAAATAGAACTCCTCACTACTAGAAAACAGCCTTTTACGACGCCCATTGCGCGTCGTAAAAGGCTTAGACGACGCGCAAATGTGCATCAAGGAAGGCCCAGTCATAAAGAGAGATGGTGCGCTCTTGCACGTCGTCTATAGACGACGCGCGTTTATGACAAGCAATGTGTATTAAGGAAAAGACAACACGCATTCGCGTGTCGTATCCTTACGACGCGCGTGTTAATGACACGCAATGCGTATCAAGAAAGCCTGTGTCAAGAAAGGCCATGTCATAAATGAAGATGACACACATTTTTGCGTATCATAATTTTTAATGTTTAAAAAAATATTATTTATCAGTTTACTTATTTTCAAATTAAATTTGTATTTAATGCTTCATAATAGAAATTAAAATATAATATACAAAAAATAGAATCCAATGCATAAATTTAATGTCATACAAATAATCGTTCCATGGAACGATAAAACAAATCAGTAGGAGTTGTAACAAAAATTTACAAACGAATTAGATACAAAAAATACAATCCATTGCCCCTTTGCTTATTCAAGATCAACCTGCAACTAGCTAACTATCTGTACAAATTCACCCTTTTTCTAATCATTTTCTTTAATACTTTACAAACATAATTCATCCATATATAGTACCTGAATTATAGTTGCAGCTAGCCTTGTTTCTTCTTCGTCTCAGCTCATCTCTTGGAACCATTGCTCTAAGCCTAGTTTGAATAGATACAACAGCTCCTTGTCAATTATGTGAAAAATACAATCGGAGATTGGCCTACCTTCATAATAGCAACAACTAACGAAGCAGGAATGAAAGGGAAGGCAATACTCACAACAATAGCTGCAGAGAATGCATCTAGGTCCTACAGGATCATACAAATCACTATTTAAATACACACTACATATAAAGATTTCAATATTCTGATTGCATGTAATTAATATATAAAGACTCCAACAATAAATAGATATGTTATGTTACCTTGAGACACCTTTGAAGGGGATCCAAAAGATAATATGTAGTCCTATCAACTTGTTTCTACTTGTTATTGTTATGCTTCTGTATTGTTTGGCTTAACAGTAAATGAGTCAAATTGCCAGAAGCTTTTCCCATCCATGGGTCCTAGATTTGGATTTCTCCATACTTGCTTACACTTACTAGATGTTTGCCATCTGGTGACCATGCAACAAAGGGAACCCAATTCTTGTGCCCTGAATAGATATGTAAAAATATAACAATTTTTTTGGCTTTTGTGATGATGAAGTTATGATAAACCTACACAAACACAATAAATGAGTAAATTACACTTTCGGTCCCTAAGTATAGCTATTTTTTGCAATTTTGGTCACAAAAGATTTCTTTTGCAAATATGGTCCTTAATTTTGAAGTTTCCTAACGACTCTGGTCTCAGTGTTGTATAACTATACCATAGGGACCAAATATATAATTTTCTCTTATCTTCTGAGTATAGCATTTTATGTACGTTTGATTTCTTTTCTTAAATTTATAATAATTATAGAGTAAGTAAATTTATATTAATATATTAACAAACGATTAAATTTACAATATACACCAAAAATATTATAAATTTAAAAAGAGTATTATGCACGTGTTAAATGTTATAAACCTTAATTTACAAACATATGAGAATTACAAATCTGGCCCCTGTGGTATATTGTTCTATCAGTTTTGGTCATTTGCTTAGGTTGTTAAACATAGAGATGTTGAAGTTCACAGTTTTCGGTTCTATGAGATGTTCACAGGTACACCAACATAGATGCTAAACCAACTAAAAGGGCCTAGTAAAAAAAATTGTAAATGTTTGTTTTGAAATTAAAAAAAAGTAAAACAAATAAATAATCACATACCTGTAAGTGAAATAGGACGGTGAACTTACGTTTTGAGACATGGTTTATGAGATAAAGCCAATACTTGTTATCTTTGGTATGCATGTCTAAACACCTAATAACTCCTCCTATTACAACACTTACAACTCCACTCATAGATCTGGAAAAAAAAATCACATGATGTCATCAAATGATGATCTTTAACTAATGATGATAACTTAAACTAGAAATGTGTTGTCAGGAATCTCTGAAAAAATTGACAAAAACCAACATGACCTGCAAACACAAAATTTGAAGAAATAAAATAATAACAACGTATTGGGGTGTATTTGATGGGGATAAAAGGAACGCATTGAGGTGGAATTCATCCTCAAAAGACAGCCACCAATTTTATCAGCAAAGTGTTGAAAAGGTACCTGCAATACAAAATCATTAACAAACATAATATATTTGATTTTTTATTGAAGTATATGAAAATTGAAGTAGTTAGTTTAGTTAGCTACCTCATTTTCCTGTTTGATATCATGGGTAAAGAATTGTTACATATACATCCTATACAGAGTAATAAACTAGGAGGTTATTTCCTGTAGTTTACCCAGAAAAGAAAGGGAAAAAACTTACAGGTTCTGCAATATAGACATGTGCCAGGTCCTTCCAAAGGTGAAGTGAGAGAAACAAATACGTTTGCAACATTCATGAGATTAATACTTAACCTCCTTCCCATAATTATTCTTTTCATTTCATTGTACAATCTGTTAATCAAATTTATATGTAAAAGGGTCATCAATTTGAACTCACATTCCAACACCTTCTTTGAATAAATGACTATAATTTCTAGCAACAATTCAACTTATAAAAAGGAAAGAAAACAACAATCTAGCTTATAAAAGATTAATAAATAGAGGGCCTGAAACTGCTTAAAGCTCAACACCATTAATCGCTAATCAATAAGATAATACTTTGTTTTTTTAACTTCTCCAACCATTGGTGGTTGTTGAGATGACCTGACATCTTGTTGGAAAAATCATGGTTTCCTTCAACTTCTCTTACTTTGTCCATAAGAAGGGATGATGGGCTTACTTCCTTCAAATCAACATTTAGATTCTTGAACAAAACCTGAAAGGCCACAATAACAATAGTGAATATAGTATATTATCGGAATTGATGTTATAAACTTTTTGATTATGATGTGTGTAGTATGATGTGTGTTTTCAAAAACAACATCCTTCTTTATGTTGATCACTTTCTTTATCTTTATTAGTGACCACACCTCTTCAGCAGTTTTAGCAAGGACTGCATGAAAGCTGATCTTCATATGTTTTCCTTCATCCTTCTCTTTGAATTTGCTTTCGGCTTTGAACTGGGGCATGATGAACATCATCTCATTGATTGGAAAGTCCAATTAACTTGCATCAGTATTCGTAACTATGTAGCTCTGTTTTGGCTTCTTTTCGAATGAATACATATGATTGAATGCAACCTTGGCTTCAACTATTTCGTAGTTATAATGCTTTGATGGATCACCTTTGTTCATGCCTGGAGGATAACTTGCTCTTTGTGTCATTATACTCTGTACTAATCTCATCCTCTCTAGTTCAGCCTCAACCTTAGCCTTCTTTTCTTCCTTTGACTTTTCTATCAAAATTGTTTTTCCTGTTGCCTTCGAAGCTGAAACTTCTATTACTTCTTTCATTTTTGAATCACTCCCACCAACATTAGCATATTTACCACTCACAATACCTATTGTAATTCATCTTGTAATTGGCACGGTTGTCAGTACAGTCGAAGAAATCGGACCATCAGTATCTATGATTGGTTTTGTAGTTGGAATCTTCGAAGAAAATACCTTTCCCACCACCTTCGCATCATCACCACCAGCCTTCGAAACTTCACCCTTCCTTTCTCCCCCTTGTACCCCTATAAAAACAGGCGGGGCATCTGTTGTTGGAAGAAGGTTGGATATGCAAGAAAGAGGAGCCAACTGTTGAAGAAGTATTTCTTTGAATTTAGAAAATTTTTGGAATAGAACATCCGAAGACAGTTGAGAAGATGAAACTGGCTTTGTAGATAATGCTTTGAGCTCCTTTAACAAAGTGAGGACCTCCATAAAACTTTTGTTTTCAGTGGTAGAAAGTTGAGATATTTGAGGACTCAAACTATCATACAACTTAACAAATTTCGTCACAGCATCACAAATTATGTCAACCTTTTGATTTAGAGAACCATATTCTGTGCGAACACATACAATCTCTCTTTCCATATCTTGACGAAGCTCTTGAAGTTTAAATTTGACATACTCACGCACCTTTTTAACGTCTTGAATGAACAATACATGACATTCCTTGGTCGCCAGTCTCAATTCTTTCAAATCTCCTACAAATGTGGACTTCTGAGAATTCACCCTTATCTCATTGTTATGATCACATATATCAACTTTCTCCAAAATACGAGACTCAGAATCTTTGATCATACCCGAAACTTTTGAAATGATCCTGCCTTCTAGAAATTTTAACAAACCATCAACTTCTAAACTCGGTACAAAATTACCTCCCCCAAGATCTGCTTGTGATTGAAGAATTGAATTCAGCTTTGTATTCAAGATTTTAAACTGCTTCATTTTCATAAGCATATGATCTGGGAAATCAGCTTCGTCTTCATCAAATTCCAAGTTCATAAAAATTCCTCCAAAACCTTTAGATTCATTCTCAGTCACCATAAAAATAGATTCTTGAATTGGTGAAGTGGTTGTGGATTGATCAGTGGATTGAGAAGAGAAAAAGAGAAGTAATTGGATGTTTGATAATGTTTTCGAATGTAGGAGAATCTATGGTGGAAGTAATGGGTATGACAGGTGTAATTTGTGGAGGAAAAGAAACAAAAGTTTCTGAGGTAACAATCAAAGGTTTACCTTTGTCATCTTTCTTCGAATCATCCTCACCCATGATAACATTTGCATCCGTATTATATAAGTTCACAAGAATGTTAGAAGTTTGTGCCTCCTCAGATAATGACTTGGCAACCGAATCTTCGGGTGGTATAACAGCTGTCTGTGAAGGATTAGAAGTATCTTTTTGAAGAATGGCTTTAGGAGTTTCTGGAATTGTTTCATCTTCGTCGGCTGTAGATTCAGAAGAGATGTTCATTTTGCTTTTCTTCTTCTTCTTCTTTGAAATATGTTTAGCCATATTAGCAGGCCTTCATTTATTTGATGATAGAGAAATAGGCGCTGGAATTTCAAAAAATAGAACTCCTCACTACTAGAAAACAGCCTTTTACGACGCCCATTGCGCGTCGTAAAAGGCTTAGACGACGCGCAAATGTGCATCAAGGAAGGCCCAGTCATAAAGAGAGATGGTGCGCTCTTGCACGTCGTCTATAGACGACGCGCGTTTATGACAAGCAATGTGTATTAAGGAAAAGACAACACGCATTCGCGTGTCGTATCCTTACGACGCGCGTGTTAATGACACGCAATGCGTATCAAGAAAGCCTGTGTCAAGAAAGGCCATGTCATAAATGAAGATGACACACATTTTTGCGTATCATAATTTTTAATGTTTAAAAAAATATTATTTATCAGTTTACTTATTTTCAAATTAAATTTGTATTTAATGCTTCATAATAGAAATTAAAATATAATATACAAAAAATAGAATCCAATGCATAAATTTAATGTCATACAAATAATCGTTCCATGGAACGATAAAACAAATCAGTAGGAGTTGTAACAAAAATTTACAAACGAATTAGATACAAAAAATACAATCCATTGCCCCTTTGCTTATTCAAGATCAACCTGCAACTAGCTAACTATCTGTACAAATTCACCCTTTTTCTAATCATTTTCTTTAATACTTTACAAACATAATTCATCCATATATAGTACCTGAATTATAGTTGCAGCTAGCCTTGTTTCTTCTTCGTCTCAGCTCATCTCTTGGAACCATTGCTCTAAGCCTAGTTTGAATAGATACAACAGCTCCTTGTCAATTATGTGAAAAATACAATCGGAGATTGGCCTACCTTCATAATAGCAACAACTAACGAAGCAGGAATGAAAGGGAAGGCAATACTCACAACAATAGCTGCAGAGAATGCATCTAGGTCCTACAGGATCATACAAATCACTATTTAAATACACACTACATATAAAGATTTCAATATTCTGATTGCATGTAATTAATATATAAAGACTCCAACAATAAATAGATATGTTATGTTACCTTGAGACACCTTTGAAGGGGATCCAAAAGATAATATGTAGTCCTATCAACTTGTTTCTACTTGTTATTGTTATGCTTCTGTATTGTTTGGCTTAACAGTAAATGAGTCAAATTGCCAGAAGCTTTTCCCATCCATGGGTCCTAGATTTGGATTTCTCCATACTTGCTTACACTTACTAGATGTTTGCCATCTGGTGACCATGCAACAAAGGGAACCCAATTCTTGTGCCCTGAATAGATATGTAAAAATATAACAATTTTTTTGGCTTTTGTGATGATGAAGTTATGATAAACCTACACAAACACAATAAATGAGTAAATTACACTTTCGGTCCCTAAGTATAGCTATTTTTTGCAATTTTGGTCACAAAAGATTTCTTTTGCAAATATGGTCCTTAATTTTGAAGTTTCCTAACGACTCTGGTCTCAGTGTTGTATAACTATACCATAGGGACCAAATATATAATTTTCTCTTATCTTCTGAGTATAGCATTTTATGTACGTTTGATTTCTTTTCTTAAATTTATAATAATTATAGAGTAAGTAAATTTATATTAATATATTAACAAACGATTAAATTTACAATATACACCAAAAATATTATAAATTTAAAAAGAGTATTATGCACGTGTTAAATGTTATAAACCTTAATTTACAAACATATGAGAATTACAAATCTGGCCCCTGTGGTATATTGTTCTATCAGTTTTGGTCATTTGCTTAGGTTGTTAAACATAGAGATGTTGAAGTTCACAGTTTTCGGTTCTATGAGATGTTCACAGGTACACCAACATAGATGCTAAACCAACTAAAAGGGCCTAGTAAAAAAAATTGTAAATGTTTGTTTTGAAATTAAAAAAAAGTAAAACAAATAAATAATCACATACCTGTAAGTGAAATAGGACGGTGAACTTAGGTTTTGAGACATGGTTTATGAGATAAAGCCAATACTTGTTATCTTTGGTATGCATGTCTAAACACCTAATAACTCCTCCTATTACAACACTTACAACTCCACTCATAGATCTGGAAAAAAAAATCACATGATGTCATCAAATGATGATCTTTAACTAATGATGATAACTTAAACTAGAAATGTGTTGTCAGGAATCTCTGAAAAAATTGACAAAAACCAACATGACCTGCAAACACAAAATTTGAAGAAATAAAATAATAACAACGTATTGGGGTGTATTTGATGGGGATAAAAGGAACGCATTGAGGTGGAATTCATCCTCAAAAGACAGCCACCAATTTTATCAGCAAAGTGTTGAAAAGGTACCTGCAATACAAAATCATTAACAAACATAATATATTTGATTTTTTATTGAAGTATATGAAAATTGAAGTAGTTAGTTTAGTTAGCTACCTCATTTTCCTGTTTGATATCATGGGTAAAGAATTGTTACATATACATCCTATACAGAGTAATAAACTAGGAGGTTATTTCCTGTAGTTTACCCAGAAAAGAAAGGGAAAAAACTTACAGGTTCTGCAATATAGACATGTGCCAGGTCCTTCCAAAGGTGAAGTGAGAGAAACAAATACGTTTGCAACATTCATGAGATTAATACTTAACCTCCTTCCCATAATTATTCTTTTCATTTCATTGTACAATCTGTTAATCAAATTTATATGTAAAAGGGTCATCAATTTGAACTCACATTCCAACACCTTCTTTGAATAAATGACTATAATTTCTAGCAACAATTCAACTTATAAAAAGGAAAGAAAACAACAATCTAGCTTATAAAAGATTAATAAATAGAGGGCCTGAAACTGCTTAAAGCTCAACACCATTAATCGCTAATCAATAAGATAATACTTTGTTTTTTTAACTTCTCCAACCATTGGTGGTTGTTGAGATGACCTGACATCTTGTTGGAAAAATCATGGTTTCCTTCAACTTCTCTTACTTTGTCCATAAGAAGGGATGATGGGCTTACTTCCTTCAAATCAACATTTAGATTCTTGAACAAAACCTGAAAGGCCACAATAACAATAGTGAATATAGTATATTATCGGAATTGATGTTATAAACTTTTTGATTATGATGTGTGTAGTATGATGTGTGTTTTCAAAAACAACATCCTTCTTTATGTTGATCACTTTCTTTATCTTTATTAGTGACCACACCTCTTCAGCAGTTTTAGCAAGGACTGCATGAAAGCTGATCTTCATATGTTTTCCTTCATCCTTCTCTTTGAATTTGCTTTCGGCTTTGAACTGGGGCATGATGAACATCATCTCATTGATTGGAAAGTCCAATTAACTTGCATCAGTATTCGTAACTATGTAGCTCTGTTTTGGCTTCTTTTCGAATGAATACATATGATTGAATGCAACCTTGGCTTCAACTATTTCGTAGTTATAATGCTTTGATGGATCACCTTTGTTCATGCCTGGAGGATAACTTGCTCTTTGTGTCATTATACTCTGTACTAATCTCATCCTCTCTAGTTCAGCCTCAACCTTAGCCTTCTTTTCTTCCTTTGACTTTTCTATCAAAATTGTTTTTCCTGTTGCCTTCGAAGCTGAAACTTCTATTACTTCTTTCATTTTTGAATCACTCCCACCAACATTAGCATATTTACCACTCACAATACCTATTGTAATTCATCTTGTAATTGGCACGGTTGTCAGTACAGTCGAAGAAATCGGACCATCAGTATCTATGATTGGTTTTGTAGTTGGAATCTTCGAAGAAAATACCTTTCCCACCACCTTCGCATCATCACCACCAGCCTTCGAAACTTCACCCTTCCTTTCTCCCCCTTGTACCCTATAAAAACAGGCGGGCATCTGTTGTTGGAAGAAGGTTGGATATGCAAGAAAGAGGAGCCAACTGTTGAAGAAGTATTTCTTTGAATTTAGAAAATTTTTGGAATAGAACATCCGAAGACAGTTGAGAAGATGAAACTGGCTTTGTAGATAATGCTTTGAGCTCCTTTAACAAAGTGAGGACCTCCATAAAACTTTTGTTTTCAGTGGTAGAAAGTTGAGATATTTGAGGACTCAAACTATCATACAACTTAACAAATTTCGTCACAGCATCACAAATTATGTCAACCTTTGATTTAGAGAACCATATTCTGTGCGAACACATACAATCTCTCTTTCCATATCTTGACGAAGCTCTTGAAGTTTAAATTTGACATACTCACGCACCTTTTTAACGTCTTGAATGAACAATACATGACATTCCTTGGTCGCCAGTCTCAATTCTTTCAAATCTCCTACAAATGTGGACTTCTGAGAATTCACCCTTATCTCATTGTTATGATCACATATATCAACTTTCTCCAAAATACGAGACTCAGAATCTTTGATCATACCCGAAACTTTTGAAATGATCCTGCCTTCTAGAAATTTTAACAAACCATCAACTTCTAAACTCGGTACAAAATTACCTCCCCCAAGATCTGCTTGTGATTGAAGAATTGAATTCAGCTTTGTATTCAAGATTTTAAACTGCTTCATTTTCATAAGCATATGATCTGGGAAATCAGCTTCGTCTTCATCAAATTCCAAGTTCTTAAAAATTCCTCCAAAACCTTTAGATTCATTCTCAGTCTCCATAAAAATAGATGCTTGAATTGGTGAAGTGGTTGTGGATTGATCAGTGGATTGAGAAGAGAAAAAGAGAAGTAATTGGATGTTTGATAATGTTTTCGAATGTAGGAGAATTTGTGGTGGAAGTAATGGGTATGATAGGTGTAATTTGTGGAGGAAAAGAAACAAAAGTTTCTGAGGTAACAATCAAACGTTTACCTTAGTCATCTTTCTTCGAATCATCCTCACCCATGATAACATTTGCATCCATATTAGATAAGTTTACAAGAATGTCAGAAGTTCGTGCCTCCTCAGATAATGACTTGGCAACCGAATCTTCGGGTGGTATAACAGCTGTCTGTGAAGGATTAGAAGTATCTTTTTGAAGATTGGCTTTAGGAGTTTCTGGAATTGTTTCATCTTCGTCGGCTGTAGATTCAGAAGAGATGTTCATTTTGCTTTTCTTCTACTTCTTCTTTGAAATATGTTTACCCATATTAGCAGCCCTTCATTTATTTGATGATGGAGAAATAGGCGCTAGAATTTCAAAAAATAGAACTCCTCACTACTAGAAAACAGCCTTTTACGACGCCCATTGCGCGTCGTAAAAGGCTTAGACGACGCGCAAATGTGCATCAAGGAAGACCCAGTCATAAAGAGAGACGGTGCGCTCTTGCACGTCGTCTATAGACGACGCGCGTTTATGACAAGCAATGTGTATTAAGGAAAAGACGACACGCATTCGCGTGTCGTATCCTTACGACAAGCGTGTTAATGACGCGCAATGCGTATCAAGAAAGCGTGTGTCAAGAAAGGCCATGTCATAAATGAAGATGACACACATTTTTGCGTATCATAATTTATAATGTTTAAAAAATATTATTTATCGGTTTACTTATTTTCAAATTAAATTTGTATTTAATGTTTCATAATAGAAATTAAAATATAATATACAAAAAATAGAATCCAATGCATAAATTTAATGTCATACAAATAATCGTTCCATGGAAAGATAAAACAAATCAGTAGGAGTTGTAACAAAAATTTACAAACGAATTAGATACAAAAAATACAATCCATTGCCCCTTTGCTTATTCAAGATCAACCTGCAACTAGCTAACTATCTGTACAAATTCACCCTTTTTCTAATCATTTTCTTTAATACTTTACAAACATAATTCATCCATATATAGTACCTGAACTATAGTTGCAGCTAGCCTTGTTTCTTCTTCGTCTCAGCTCATCTCTTGGAACCATTGCTCTAAGCCTAGTTTGAATAGATACAACAGCTCCTTGTCAATTATGTGAAAAATACAATCGGAGATTGGCTACCTTCATAATAGCAACAACTAACGAAGCAGGAATGAAAGAGAAGGCAATACTCACAACAATAGCTGCAGAGAATGCATCTAGGTCCTACAGGATCATACAAATCACTATTTAAATACACACTACATATAAAGATTTCAATATTCTGATTGCATGTACTTAATATATAAAGACTCCAACAATAAATAGATATGTTATGTTACCTTGAGACACCTTTGAAGGGGATCCAAAAGATAATATGTAGTCTTATCAACTTGCTTCTACTTGTTATTGTTATGATTCTGTATTGTTTGGCTTAACAGTAAATGAGTCAAATTGCCAGAAGCTTTTCCCATCCATGGGTCCTACATTTGGATTTCTCCATACTTGCTTACACTTACTAGATGTTTGCCATCTGGTGACCATGCAACAAAGAGAACCCAATTCTTGTGCCCTGAATAGATATGTAAAAATATAACAATTTGTTTGGCTTTTGTGATGATGAAGTTATGATAAACCTACACAAACACAATAAATGAGTAAATTACACTTTTGGTCCCTAAGTATAGCTATTTTTTGCAATTTTGTTCACAAAAGATTTCTTTTGCAAATATGGTCCTTAATTTTGAAGTTTCCTAACGACTCTGGTCTCAGTGTCGTATAACTATACCATAGGGACCAAATATATAATTTTCTCTTATCTTCTAAGTATAGCATTTTATGTACGTTTGATTTCTTTTCTTAAATTTATAATAATTATAGAGTAAGTAAATTTATATTAATATATTAACAAATGATTAAATTTACAATATACACCAAAAATATTATAAATTTAAAAAGAGTATTATGCACGTGTAAAATGTTATAAACCTTAATTTACAAACATATGAGAATTACAAATCTGGCCCCTGTGGTATATTGTTCTATCAGTTTTGGTCATTTGCCTAGGTTGTTAAACATAGAGATGTTGAAGTTCACAGTTTTCGATTCTATGAGATGTTCACAGGTACACCAACATAGATGCTAAACCAACTAAAAGGGCCTACTAAAAAAAAATTGTAAATGTTTGTTTTGAAATTAAAAAAAAAAAGTAAAAAAAATAAATAATCACATACCTGTAAGTGAAATAGGACGGTGAACTTAGGTTTTGAGACATGGTTTATGAGATAAAGCCAATACTTGTTATCTTTGGTATGCATGTCTAAATACCTACTAACTCCTCCTATTACAACACTTACAACTCCACTCATAGATCTGAAAAAAAAAATCACATGATGTCATCAAATGATGATCTTTAACTAATGATGATAACTTTCACTAGAAATGTGTTGTCAGGAATCTCGGAAAAAATTGACAAAAACCAACATGACCTACAAACACAAAATTTGAAGAAATGAAATACTAACAACGTATTGGGGTGTATTTGATGGGGATAAAAGGAACGCATTGAGGTGGAATTCATCCTCAAAAGACAGCCACCAATTTTATCAGCAAAGTGTTGAAAAGGTACCTGCAATACAAAATCATTAACAAACATAATATATTTGATTTTTTATTGAAGTATATGAAAATTGAAGTAGTTAGTTTAGTTAGCTACCTCATTTTCCTGTTTGATATCATGGGTAAAGAATTGTTACATATACATCCTATACAGAGTAATAAACTAGGAGGTTATTTCCTGTAGTTTACCCAGAAAAGAAAGGGAAAAAACTTACAGGTTCTGCAATATAGACACGTGCCAGGTCCTTCCAAAGGTGAAGTGAGAGAAACAAATACGTTTGCAACATTCATGAGATTAATACTTAACCTCCTTCCCATAATTATTCTTTGCATTTCATTGTACAATCTGTTAATCAAATTTATATGTAAAAGGGTCATCAATTTGAACTCACATTCCAACGCCTTATTTGAATAAATGACTATAATTTCTAGCAACAATTCAACTTATAAAAAGGAAAGAAAACAACAATCTAGCTTATAAAAGATTAATAAATAGAGGGCCTGAAATTGCTTAAAGCTCAACACCATTAATCGCTAATCAATAAGATAACACTTTGTTTTTTTAACTTCTCCAACCATTGGTGGTTGTTGAGATGACCTGACATCTTGTTGGAAAAATCATGGTTTCCTTCAACTTCTCTTACTTTATCCATAAGAATGGATGATGGGCTTACTTCCTTCAAATCAACATTCAGATTCTTGAACAAAACCTGAAAGGCCACAATAACAATAGTGAATATAGTATATTATCGGAATTGATGTTATACACTTTTTGATTTTAATGTGTGTAATATGATGTGTGTGTAGAAAAGTATGGATCTTGCTGGGTACCATAGTTTTCAGCATAAGTAACCTGAAAGGGAAGGGTTTGTCCGCTTGCAGCCCCATCGTATGCTTGGTACACATCCACCACACCATGTGTGGTTGCAACTGCAACTAGTTGTGCATACGAATCTTGACTGTTCACCATTGTTCCTGCAACCTATATATATATATATATATATATATATATATATATATATATATATATATATATATATATATATATATATATATATATATATATATTACAACAATTCATAAGTTCAAGTGGGAAATTACTAAATTACCCCTGATTAAGAAAAAACTAAGTAACCGACCTCACTAGGGTTGTGAACTCTAGGGGGCCCGAAACCGAAGCTTGTCCACTGTTTGCTACATTCATATCAACACCACTTGGATATCTGATTTAAAATAAAATATAAATATTAATGTATAACAAAGTACAGAAATATGAGAAATTACTAAAATACCCTGATGCGTGTGAAGGAACTGGATAAGCGTGGGTTGCATATTCCACTACAGGGCATGACAAGTATGAGGTTCATACTCTCTTGGAGGATGAGGAGGAGAAAGATAACTAGGAGCAGGATGTTGATGTTGATGTTGATGCGGATGTGGATTATATTCGCACTTCATAAAAACATAAATAAATATTTAGTTATTAAATTAATAAATTCCCATTTCCTGATTTTAAATTTTACCTTAAAAGATTCATAACGACCACCTCTGTTCCAGGTTTTGAATCTCTAAGATATCTTGCCCTAAATCTTGATGCAATCTCAGCCAAAGCTTCTTTTGCAACACCGTAACTCCCAAGCACCAAGTAGGGTATTTTTGGAAAATGTAAAAGATCAAAAGGGTATTTCAGGAAAGTGAAAAAACCAAAAGGGTATGTCTGGAAATTGAGATACCTGAACAAGCTCTTCATTTTCAGCAGCACACTTGGGTTTCTCTTCATTTTCAGCAGCACACTTGCAAAAATTTTAAACTTTTAAAACCCATCTTAGAATGACTAAAGGTTAGAAAGGAGAAGTAATGAAGCTATGAGTTAAGAAAAGAGTAATCACAGTAAGGTCTATAAAACAGACCTGCTATTCAAAACGGATTTACTCCAAAATCTAAAACAAAAACATAGCTTTAACTAAATTTTATAGGAAGCTATGATTGTTCAGAATTCCAGAACTATAAAGAGCTCCTTCTAACTCCAAAGGATGAATTAAATATGAATTTTACAAAAAGGTGTATCACTTCTGTCTCCAACAAGACAGTCAAGTAAGGTTGGCCAATTCAACCCAACTTTTGAGTAGAATTCGTCGAAACCAAAATTCAGAGAAGTAAAGGACATACAAATGAAAGTCTCGGAGTTGAAATTGAATGAAAACCATTTCCCAAGCTCCGGATATAAAATTCACATTGTGGACAATCACAACACTAGTAAAAGCTAGTGACTGCCCACTGATCTGGAGTGTGGATCCATTCTAACCAATTTATAATTGGAAATAACACCCTATCTGCTCCAGATCTTAAATTCATAATATAAGGAACATATAGAAACTTGAAATCACTATGGATCCTTTTCCAAGCCGTAGAAATGATGAAAACAAAATGACATATCAGAATAGATCCGGATCAGACCTAACAGCAAAGATGCCATTCTTTCCCATAGATAAAGTCCTTATCAGTGAGGTTGGCCTGCTTAAGAAAGTTAGCCAACTCAATTTGTGAAATTTGGGATCTAGTTTGGGGTCCGTTTTATTTCTATAGCTCAAGGTATGATTTTTACAAAATGACTATAGATCTGATGGAAAACAAAATCGTAGCCACCCATGATTCCTTTTTGGCTTATCCATCCTTCTCCATTGTTAAAAAAAAGTTCTACTAAGAACTGATACAGATACAAGACATGAAATCTAAGTAAACCATCGAGATGAACATGTAATCAACATTTCATAGATGTAAACATGATATCCCATGCCTCTAACATGGAACATGATATACACATGTCAAAACTTTTAATTGAATTTACAAATACATACACTAGCCAAAATCAAGGGATATCAAGTACCTTAGTTGATGACTTGAGTAGTGAACTACAGTCATTTTCTGTACAATCCATCATATAGATCATTGGAACTGGGTAAAAGAAGAATAAAAACCAATGAGTGGACAGAAAAAAAAAAGTAAAAAGGTAAAAGGAGCTAAACAAAAAGATATACCAAATGAAAATACAAATGCCATCTACGTCTTACCATTCCAAGAATGTCTGATATACCTTGTGCACCACAAGTTCTTCTAGCTTATCATCATCCGGTTGAACATTTGTTACTGGCATTGTGATAGCAATATCATCAGAGAGTAGTTGGAAGCCTAAATCTTTAGCAAGTGAAAGAGGACATTTTAGGACCAAACTAAAAAAACTAGCTGCACTTAGAGCTAGAAGTGTAGTTTACTATATCTTCTTTATAAACCATCATCGAAAAAACTATTAAAATTACTAGTACAAAACAATTAAGCAAAATTTATAATTAAGTTGGATGCCATGTTGGCACGGAAAACTGTTTAACCAGGTATAACAAGTTAAGTTGCCATGGCCCATTTTAGTCCAACAAATCATCTATACAAATCAGTACCTACCTGGTGTGATCATGACCCATTTTAGTCCAACAAATTAGGAAAAAGAATCCATACAGGCTTGCCCTGTATGGATTCGAGTGCAAGGTGTGATTAGGTACCATATCACTTGGTCTTGTGTACATCAGGTAATGTTATAAGGTATGAATTAGGTAAGATTCTTCTTTTAAGCATTTCTTCGAACACTTACAGCGCATAGCTCATCTCTTTCATTTTCTGAGAGTTCCCAGAATCTAGGGTTTAATATTCTATTCTTAAAACATATGTTCAATATTATCAATACAAGCAGAAAGTAAAGAGACAGCAAGAACATAGAAAAATACCTGCTTATTTTTTTAAAAGAGAAAAAGGACAGAGAATTTTGAGGAATTGTATGTCTCGGGACGGAATCCATCAAGAACGTCTGTGAATTTCGACACATAAATGTACCTATACAAAATTCTGAAAGGTAAGGATGATGACGATGCACTAGCTATGAGCATACGCGAGCAATAGAAACAGGAAAATGAAGTCTGGGAATAAGGTCTAGCTAGTGTTTGCAAACACATTTGAACCTAAAAACTGATTTCAGGGGAAATCTTGGGATGATTTCGAGAAGGAGAGACTCAGTGAGGTTTTGAATATAGTGTGAGAACGTATGAGCAAGGAGAACAAGCCCTAAAACTGATGATTCGGAAAGAGGGTTTACTTGTGTTGAATCGATTGTTGTGATTACCTGAGATTGAGAGTGTTCTCTCTTTCTTGAATAGGTGATGATCTGATGACGGTGGCTTGGAATGTGTTTTGATCACCATCATCGTCGATGTGATTATCGATTTTGATTGATTGAATTGTTGGGTTCCATTTAGCGGTGGTTTGAGGTTGGAAATGGAAATGGAAAGAGCGCCACCAAGGAGATTGGGGAGCAGAAGAAGATAGAATCAAAGATGTTCGAAGTGTGGATTGATTTTTTAGTGTTCAATTTCAACTCAATTAGTAAAGAGTCCAAAACAATTACACCTCCCTTTATTTCACTCAATAATCAAAACCATAGAAATTCTTGAGATTTTTATGAACTTTTCTCATGAATGATGTTCACGTCGCCGGCTCCAAAGCGCCATAATCATGCCGAGATCCAGAATCGTATACGTTTGTTGTTTACAAATCTGTTGTTGAACCCTGAAGAATCGACCTAGGTGTTCCCACCGCTGAAAATGAAGATGAAGGCCCTAGGGATTTTTCTTTCTAAGTAGAAGAGGAAGGGGGATTAATTTTTGGGATCCAATAGGCGGTGGTAATTTACGTCGATTTCATTTCCTGCCTAAAATGTGTGTTTCACTTATAAATTATAAAGCGACACATTTACATGATGCACATTTTATTAAAGGTGGCCTCTGCATTTCTTTTTTTTTCTTTTCTGACACTAATTTTAGTGCACGCACAAATGCGTGCCCTCTATCCTTCAGATTTTACAAAACTGACATTATTTTTTAGGGCACGGAAAAATGTGCGTCCTCTATCAGCGAGTGTTATTGTCTGCGCATCATTAAAGGGTTGTTTTCTTGTAGTGCCTTGATGAGTAACTTGTGGATTTTGTACGACATTTATGAGTGGAGATCTGCTCTTGTGCTTTGACTTCATTTTGATTCTTCGAAAAACACCTGTCTTTGAAGGAATAATTTCTTTTTGAATTTCTGAACCAACAGGTTTAGTATTAGCAACCGAAACTTTGTGTATTATTGGCTTTGCATCAGTAAGTGGTAGCTTCTTTGGAATCTTCGTAGATTTAGACTCCTTGACTGGTTTATCAGAAGAACCAGTTTCAGTCTTCTTCGTACGTTTTGACTTCGTCTCCTCTCTTGGCAATAGAATCCCAGTCTCAATAGTTGTATCGATTGTTTGCAAATAAGTCACTAAGACTGTATTCGTTACATCAACACGTTTGAGCATTGCATCAGGAATACGAGCTACAATAGGAAACTCCTCAGCTTCATCAGGTGCATCCTTCGGACAACTGTACACGTGAAAAACAGCTTTTTCTTCATCATTTGGTACCATAACCCCCTCCTTCTTGTAAAAATACTGCAAAATCAAGCTCCAATATCTTGCACACAAAATGCCATGAAGACCATTCATGTTTTCGATACTCTTTAGAAATTCGTTCCACAGTTGAGTAGAGTAATCCGCTTAAAGATCATAATAAAGCCCTACAACCATGGCATAAACCTCCATTTGACCCTTATCCAGACCAACTGTTCTTCTAGTCAAACACCTCAAGAAAATACCAAATAAGAAATTCCAAACACTGGGAAGACCAGACTTCTTGAAATCACTAATCTTTGATAATTGAGGTCGATGGCCCATTTCATTAAACATATGTACAATTTATGGAAAGGTAAAATTGACATACGGTTGGGAATTAGGGATTTCCAAAATCTGATAGAAAAGTTTCTTGGATAGTCTGACCTTTTTATCATTCACCAGATTGAAATTAACTGCATCAAAAGCTTTTGAATATTTAGCAGTTGATCCAGCTTG